GTATATAGGCAAGAAACCTACCGCAACGACTGAAGCAGCATGCCAACGATGAACAGAAGTTCTACAAAGAGCGCAGCACAATCGCCAAACATGGCGAGACATTAGATCACCAGAGAAATTTCGAACCGACGGCCATCCTTGAAAGCAAGCCAAACTGGAGGAGAAGGTTGTTACTCGTGTAGTGACACATACAGAGGACAGTCCATAACATCAACCACTCTCTCGGAACCCTTCCCCCAGTGCATACACACGGGCTGTGCTCCACGGCAAAACGAGAGAGAGAGGGGGGGTCATTTCTTACCCCGCGAGTGCTTTGAAAACGCCGCTGCTACGTAGCCTCCGAAGTCACCCCTGAGGAAGGAACCAAGCCGGTTTCGAAACGTCGGGTTTCTTCAAAACTTTTGGTTGGAGTCTAAATCATCTCCCAGTTTCATACCCAACCAGACAGACTTCTGTCAAATGTTTACATTCAAATTCGTATCCCTTTCGTAAACGTCGTAGCCACGGGGTTCGTCCTGCTGGCGTTTCCGGCAGAATCGTGAAATATGGCCCCGAATGCCACAATAGTAAAATATTAGGCAAGGCGAGCACCAAGGGGCGTAGAGTGCTGAAGCTGTGACAGGCGCAGGTACTGGCGCTGGGATAGCCGAGTGTGGCGCAAATGCTGCTAGGTTGAACTGCGCAAGAACACGATGTGCATGCTGAACCTAGGCAGGTGGCATGGCAGCAACTTGCACATACGTAATATTTTCTTCAATATTCAAACAGCACTTGTAGCACCTAGATGAAGTTCTGACATGTCTCGCAGCTGCTGGTCCTCATCTCAACACCAAAAAGTGGCACTTTGCAAGCAAAAGTACTAAAGTACTCGGACATCTCGTCAGCAAAGATGGAATCTGGCCTGATCCCGACAAGATTATCGCCGTTCTTCACTTCCCTGTGCCTCAACGCGCCAAAGAGCTCCGACGCTTTCTTGGCCTTGCGTCGTACTTCCAGCACTTTATACGAGACTTCGTCACCATTGCTGCGCCACTTCACCAACTCCTTTCTTCGGGAACGTCATACGTATGGTCGAACGAATGCCAAATGGCTTTTGACACATTGAAACGTGCCCTTACGTCTGAGCCAGTACTTTGTCATTTTGATAACACCGCACCCATTCTCCTCCATAGTGATGCCAGCGGACACGGAGAACTCGGCGCTGTACTTTCACAACGAGCAGAGCGTTATGGTGAATGTGTGATTGCATACGCTAGTCGCACCCTCACAGCAGCACAGAAAAACTTTATCATCACTGAGCAGGAGCGTCTCGCTGTTGTCTGGGCCATCAGAAGTTTCAACCATATCCTCACGGCCGCCACTTAACCGTCGTCACTGACCACCACGCATTCTGCTGGTTGTCAACGTTGAAGAATTTGTCTGAACGTCTCAGTCACTGGATACTTCGTCTCCAAGAATACGAGTTCGATGTTACCTACAAATCCGGCAAAAAGCACAACGATGCCGATGTCTAGCCAGCTGTTCTTTATCTTCCTCATCAGGCACTCCTGGCCTGTCGCCAACTGTCGCCATCAAAGCGTCTTCGTCAATTCATTCACTCACCACTGTCGACTTTCTGCCTTCAGCCACGAGACGTTTGCATCCCGCCAACGTAGCGCCACTTACTGCCGCTCTATAATGCAGCGCCTTTAGGGCTCCTCTCGTCTTTACAGCGCCCGCGACCATCGACAGCTGCGAAACTTCAAAACAGAAAACTCAATCCTTTACCGCTTTGTCTTCTACCCCCAAGGTCAGCGCTGAGTTCCTGTCGCTCCTCGTTCCCTAAAGGCGCAGATTTTAGAGGCGTTTCACGATGACCCCAAGGCTGGTCATCTCGGTTTTCAAAATACCTATGAACGCATCCGCAGTCGCTTTGCCTGGCCTGGGCTTTCCACCTGCGTAGCGCGATACGCTGCATTATGCTTGCTCTGACAACGCCACAAGCGACCCACTTCTTCCGCGGCCGGTCTCCTACAACTTCGCCCGTGTCCTGACAATCGATGTCATCGGCATTGACCTCTACGGTTTTCCAATATTAGCTAGCAGCAAGCCCTCGATTGTCACAGCAGTTAACCACTTGACAAGGTACGCCGAAACAGCTGCACTTCCTTCAGGATCGGCAGAGGACATTGCCACATTTTTTTTTTTTTCTGAAGACAATCTTTCTGAGACATGGTGCGCCACGCATCCTATTGAGCAACCGCGGCAAGGCGTTTCTCTCGAAACTATTCTAATACGTCTTCCACGCATGTAATACAATTCATGAGACGACCTCCAGCTACCATCCCCAGACTAACCGCCTCACAGAGCGCTTCCATCGAACTTTGACCGATATGATATCTATGTATATCAACGCCGACCACACCAACTGGGATACCATCCTGCCATTCGTGACTTTTTTATACAATACCGCTACGCAAGGCATTACGGGCTATTCCCCATTCTTTCTCGTCTATGGCCGTCAACCGACATCTCCGCTCGACATCTCCTTTTTTGACGTCCCTGTGAACTCGTCATCATCATCGAGCTCACTCTATGATGATGACTTTACCTTTCGCCTGGCCGATTGTCGCCGACGCGCCTGCCTTAATACAGAGGCAAACCAACAACAGCGGGAGACGCGCTACGATGGCGTTGGGGTCCACAATATACACAGTCGAATGACGCACGCAGGCGCAAATGCACATCACATGCAACGCTAGTCGGGATCAGAAGAGCAACATAAATTCATATCACAACCAAGTTTCTATGAACAGCTTTTTCTTACTGCGCAGCACAATAGTAAGTGTCACTGATACAATCATATTCTTTCATTTTATTGGGATAATCTTCCATTAGTTATCTCGCCAGCCACTTCCATTTCGGTCCAGAATTTGAATGCTAGACTGCACTGGTTCCCATGCAAAGGTCTCACAGAACAGATTGCTCGTGTACCAGTGCCTGATCATTGACATATCGACGGGCTTTTCCAATGTAAACCTTTCGGCAAGTGAGAGGGATTTTGTACACAACACCCACGATACTTGTGCACATGACGTAGGGTCATACGTGCATTTTTGCCCACGGCAACTTTTCAAGTGGTCCCGTAATGCAAAGGTATAGCCCTGCAAGTTTATGTGGCTCGGAAAAGAACTAGAAGTACATTGTACCTCTTGGTCACATTCTTTAAATTGTGTGCCACTTTGCTCACACACGACATCACTTTTGGCTTTTTTTCTGCATGAGCAGAGACAAGCCTCCTCTTTCCCTTCAGTGTTTGAACGAAGGTTTCGAACACCACAATCAAGTTCGAGCAGGGGAACCCAACTGCCTGTAAGTGTCCAATCTGGCTATTAAAACTATCCTGGGCCAAGTGAACACAGGACTTTGTCAGCGCCAATCCAAGACATCGTGAGACAACAGCTTGCTTTAAAACCTTGCTGTAAGCAGAATCGAAAGACAAAAGATCTTATTGCGCTCGTAGAGAGTACTTCCAGCAGATATGCTGCTCGCTTAAAGGCATATAATAATTAAACTGCAAGGCCTCATTGTTGGGAATTTCATGACGGGTAAGGTTGAAGCCCTTTTTTATAGTGTAAACAGGTTTAAAATATCCTGAACAGCACTATCATTCGTCTGAAAGACTTAGTATTTAAAGTTACGAGAAAGTCGTCTACGTACCTAAAAACTCGTAGAACTTTCTCGCTGTCCGAAACATTATTCAAGACACGGTCAACATCCGCTAAAAAATATCGCAGAAAACTGTGACAGCACGTCGATCTGTAGAAGTTCCCTTTCACTGTTAAAAATATCACTGTGAGGCACAACATGAGTTGACGATAGATAGTGGAGATGCCTAGTGGTAGCGCAACATGCCCAAGAACAGTGAGGTTTTCAGCTTTGGTTGCAACACGTTTTGGTCCTGTCAATAATGAAGGTCTACCACGGTAATCCATAGTTTGATCTGCCAACTTCTTGAATCTTTGGAGCGACAACTAATGTAGGCTAATCACATCAAACAGAAAGAAAGTGGTTGTCGTAGTAACACTTCCATTGCGCTCCGCAGTAAGAAAAAATTGTTCTGCGAAACCTGGTTGTAATATGAATACATGTTGCTCTACCGATTCTTATTAGCATTCTATCTGATTCGCAATGCGTCTGCGTGCGCCACTCGGCTGTATATATATTTAGGCCCACTTCTGAATAAAGCTCACTTGTGAGTGTTTGCCAAGTCCTGTCTACATACGTTCCTTCCTTTCCTAATCGATTTTGCGCTTCCAAGTTTTAAGATTATAAACCAACTAGCCCAGCAAAACATTCTTATACACTGTGGTACAATGATAGTGGCGACCAGAGCATCGGCCATCCAGAAACTGTTCTGTGGTAACGCAAGTCAGCATTTACACGCGCTGCGTGTAGCATTCGAGCGTTTTCGCTGCTGACCGATAGCCGAGTGCGCTCCAGAATAAACTCGGCTCTTTGCGTTTATGCGCTCAAGCCAAACATATGATTTCAAAACTATGTAGAATATTCTACGATCCGGCGCAGAATCCATAGGGCGGTATCTACACGTACGATATGCCGGGAATACGAAAACGTAAGAAAGGATGAACTGTTTTTCATTTCGTCTAGCCATATTCAACTTTCATTATAAAAAGACAGGTATAAGCAGACGTATTCCCAACAGCACTTGGCACTACATTTGGCCGCCTACGCTATCATGCGCTCATTCACGACGTTTACAGAAAGTGGGGGTTGAAAGTAATAATTTCAATGAGGCAGCACTGGCTTCAAGTCAACAGTGAAAGTTTGTGCTGACGAGATATTGAGAAGGAGAGCATACCGCATTCTACTATTCAGAAAACGTTCTTTTCGGCTACTACAGTTGCATGATCAGCAAGTCTGAAACAGTGTTCACAGAACAAGCAGGTAGCAAGATGTTCTTGTTCATTTCAGTGAGAGGCACAGGTATACTAGCTTACCCCTGGTATGTTCTTGAGGGCCCATAAGAGTCTCATCACCACCTGCAACGTAAAGTAGAGAAAAGAACATTGAGAAAGTGTGAACCACGATGAAAAATCACAAATTGGTTTTGTGCAAGCTTCTGATAGGGGATACTACATATGCACAGAGCAACAGAAGTACACCTCTGTAACTGATACATTTGCTAATCATATGATTAGCTTCTGTTAAAGGAATGCGACAGTAACGCATGGAATTTTAAGCACGTTTCGGAAAGACCATGCGGCATCGTTTAGAATATTGGCAACTCCAACTGAGTGCTCTCCACCCAGCAGCTGCACATAGAAACGGCCCTGACAGGCTAAACCTTGAAAGGAGATTCGTTACCACGTCGCACGCGTGGAGAAGCGGCCTGCATAGTTCCTTTATTATTCGCAATGCCACACACGCGAGACCGAAAAAGAAGAAAGCGATGTCGAAAGGCCAATGCAGAGCACCGCAATGCGAGGCATGGCGGTGGAAAGAGGGCAAGGTATTGTTCTATGACTTCCCCAAGGACGCAGGCGACGCGCGACGGAGTCTGTCGCAAATCAGAAATTTATGCATTGGAAGGAAGGTGACGGATACTACGGTACTTTGTTCTAATCAATTCCTTAACTAGGACTTAATTCTCCTCTGTGAGTACATTTTTATTTAGTCTGTGCGTATTCTTATCAATATATAATCATATAGTGGTTTTGGGCTGTTAAACCCCACAAATCAATCAATCAATTTTTATCAATATTCAGGCTTCCTGAAGCACTGAGTATAGTTTTGTTGACCACCAGGTGGCACCGTCTTGTTTGGCTGGCTGCATACAGTGCTCCGCTTTCACATGTTCTTGGCCCATTACCGGGCCCCGCCCGTGTCTGGACAAGCTCACTATTCCTTCTAGAAGACTTCCGGGACACACCGACACCACCCGGGCCACGATACGACCCTAGGCTGGCCCCCCAGGCCCCTTAAAAAGTATGAAGCAGTGCGGCGCCGCGCTAATACCAACGCACCATGTCTGCACCTTCGCGATGCAGCGTCCCGCCCAGCACTCAACACCAACGACAACTGACGCCCTGTCGGTAAGCCCAGCCTCCTCCGGTCATACCGCTGATACAGCCGTGTCTCCGCTGTCAACATCTGGCAATGTCACCAGCCTCGCGCCAACAGCAATACAGCAACAGGCAGTGTTCCTCAACAGCGCGCACGGTCCAGCAACGTGCAACGCTGGTGCCGTCTCTGCTACTCCCAGCTTAATAGCCGCGCAAACGCCGGTACCCGAGAGCCGTAATGCAGCGTTGGCGTTGCAATCAACCGTGCCTGCTGCTCTTCCCATGGTATCTGCGTCTGGCCTACCCACTGGAAATTCCGAGTCTGTCGATAAGTGCGTTTCGACGTGCATCAGTCCTTCCATCGCCGAAGTTTTGCCTTCCATCACTTCAGCTGAGGACTCGACGGAAATGGACTTCGCGGTGTCGCAGGTCAACGAAGACAATACGCCATCCCCCGAAGGCAGCTGGAACACCCTTAGTGCCAAACCAAAACCTGCCTCGACCGCCCGCCCAAGCTCCGAGCTCATCACCGTCGGAATCCAACTTCCACCTGGAACACTCACGCCCAAACTGCCTCTCAATGACCTGCTTTTTACCATCATAGCCGCCACAAATCTCTCTCCCAAGACCAGCGCAGAGGTCACCCTTCAGGCCAAACCTGCTCAGAGCCTTGTGTTTTTGAAAACGCACTCGCCCCTCGCTGCCCACCTCCTACTGTCCCTTACAAGTCTGTAACCTAATGGTAAGCCGATCACCATTAGGCCTTTGCCCCCGGTCTTCCAATATCATGTCTTGGCATCATACACAACGTCGGTGGTCACTTCACACCATCTCAGCTTTTGCATGACCTCGAATCCTTTACTTCAGACATAGTCACTGCACGTATGATGTGCTCCACTGAATCCGTCCTCATAACATTTGCTGGAACCGTCATCCCTTGCTTTGTGTATTTTAAACGCGTCTCTTCCCGATGAAGTCCACATAAACCTAAGCCCCCTACTTGCACTCGGTGCCTTGCTATAGGGCACCGTGCTCATCAATGCCCCCAACACAGCGTTCCGGCCAAGTGCCGCCGCTGTGCGTCTCCTTTACCAGCAGATCCCGATGCTCACCTTTGTGCCCAACCCTGGTGCATCCATTGCCAAGTCAACACCCACTCATCTCACGACTCCACCTGCCCCTACCTTCTAGCTAAACAACGCGATTGCGCCAAAGCAGATTTTCTCTGTTCCACAGCCATGCATTGAGCCACTCAGCCTTCGCCGCCCTCCTCTTCAGCGCATGAGCTCCTTTCACCTCCCGCAACATCTCCCCCGGGCTCATACGCCGCTAAGGTTAAGAACACACCTCTCGTGTGCACTTCTTCATCAAACACACCTTCACCATCCTTGAGTAACAAGAGCCGCTCCTTCGATCTGCGACTGGCTATGTTGGAGCACAACCAGCACGAGCAACAGCGTGTCTCAGATGAGCTACAACAGAAAATACTCACACTGACACAGACACTCGCAACTACCACATGCCTCTTACCTCTCAACTGACGGAGCTAAATAAGCAACTCGCGACACTCACCACCCCGACCTCCAGCTCCAATGTAACCAAATTGGCCGACATGGTCGAAACAACCACCACTGCGCATCACACTCGTTTGGTTCAGCTAAAAAATTCAGTTGCCCGAATTCTTATGACCCTCAAAACCCAATCCAAGCAACTGGAATCTTTCACCTATGTGCTTAACTCCCTGCAACAGTTGCTTCCCCCGGCAAAAAAGAAGAATGCGCACGCACAGGCGCTTCCTCTACTTCAAGGACCTAGATGGCGTATGAAAAGGACCTCGAAATCGTGCAGTGGAACTGCCGCAATTTTCGTCATAATAGGACCCCTCTTCACCAATATCTTCTCACCCGCCCCACCTTACCCCATTTTCTCCTTATACAGGAGACTCGGACAGCCCTTGCCGTCCCGGGCTACCGTGCATATCACACTATGACGGAAACGCCACTTGTGTTCATTTATCTACACAATGACGTTCTCGTTGAACCACTAGACGTACTCTCCCTACTCCTGAAATATTTAGTTGGTGTGGTCTATTACCAACCATCTACCCGTATTCCTCTCGCTCTGATGTCTTTTTGCAATCCCCCGGTCACGTCCTCTTTGTTTAGTGCTCTTGGCAAATTCCTGCACTCCCTTCCATCGACCACCCATATCCTCCTTGGGGGTGACTTTAATGCTCCTCAGAGGCTCTGCGGTTACCTCCAAACACTCAAACCAGGTCACCTTCTACACTGCTTCGCCCAGGAACGTCATCTCACCCTTTTTAATACACCTGGCACCCCTACTCGAGCGGGCACTGTTTCACAGCGCTCCACTACACCCGATCTCACTTTCTCTCGTAGTTCCCTTACTTTTCACTGGCAGGTGTCCGCTGAAAACCTTTTCAGTGATTACTTTCTCATACACATCACCACCTCTCTTTTCCACAACAGGTGGAAACGACGAGTCACTCACACTGACTGGGAAGCATTCCGTAATGACCTTTTATCTGACTTCTTTAAAACTTACGACCACTGGGCGCCGCGGATCTCCGTAGCAATGACATCCTGTAGTCGCCGCGCTCGTTTTCAACTCCCCATTCCTGACCCTGATCCTCACTTCCTCCATTTACGGCGACGTCATCAACGTTTGAAACGCTCCTCCCGCTCCCAGCCCCACGTCCAACTTTCCTCCCGCATTGATGCTCTGTGGGCTGAAATTATCACTTACAGCACTTCCCTCAAGCAGTCTCGTTGGAACACGCAGTGTGACGGCCTTGACTCCGCACTGCCCTCTCGCTCTACATGGTCTCTGTTTAAGTCTCTCTTAGGTACCAAGCCTGCCGTTGCTCACACCCTAGCTAATGCTCTCACTCAAGGGACTCCATCTGATGTTTTTGAACGATTTAAAATCTCTGTATCTCCCACCCCCCCTCACACCTTCCTACCCAGATTACTGTGGCGAAGCTAACCCAGACCTGGACCGCCCATTCACGCTCAGGGAGCTGGAAGCTGCCTTAGCCACTCAATCAACCAGCTGGGCTCCCGGTGAGGATAATATAACGTATACTACACTACGTAATCTCCCCGACAACGCGAAGGGATTTCTCTTACACACATTCAATGAAGCATGGAACAGCGGCTGTCTTCCAAGCTCTTGGACATCCTCTCTAATTTGCATGATTCCGAAGCCGGGCAAGCCTCCATCTCTTTCTAACCTTTGCCCTATCTCTTTGATGTCATGCGTTGGCAAGACTCTTGAGAGATTGGCCTTGACTCGACTGTCTGACTTTATTGAAGCAAAAAAGTTTTTCATTCCTTCTCTTATTGGCTTCCGACACCATGTATCTGAGTAGGACATGTTTCTTGTTCTTCAGCATACTTTTCTTTCAACTTCTTCTTGTCAGATCCATGCTCTTATAACCGTCGATGTACAGAAGGCATTCGATGGCGTGAGTCATGACCACATACTTGCTCAGCTCTGCTCCCTGTCATGTGGCTCCCGCATGTATTCTCACATCCGATCATTTCTTTCCAATCGAGTTGCTCGCTTTAGAGTCAACACTCATTTGTCTAACCCACACTCCCTCACCCGCGGCACTCCTCAAGGTGCCGTACTATCTCCTACTCTATTTATTATATGGCTATGGCCCCCCTTGCATCCCAACTGTCCCAAATACCTGACGTCCACCATATTTTTTATGCAGACGACATCACTCTCTGGTGTACGTCTGGATGTCCCGGCCACGTGCAGGATACTTTGCAACGTGGTCTGGACACTATCGCCTCTATTCTTGCTACTGCTGCCTGTCTCCTGCACCGGAGAAATGTGAACTACTTTTGCTAAGCCAGTCTGCGTACCAGCGCTCCCATAACACCCTCATCGCCCTACATCTTTCTAGCTCTCTCATCCCCACTGTTCAGCAATGCAAAGTTCTTGGC